GCAAATTCAAAAATTTTGAGTGTAGGACAACACTTATTCTTTTAAGGAGAGCCCTGAATTGGGCCATAAAAAGAATCGTTATTGGAATTTTTTCGCTTTTTGGACCACATTTTTGGTTCTTTGGTCCCAAGAACTCGTTAAAAGAGCCCGCGGGGATCCATTGCTAATCCACTCGCAGATGTAGCAAGAAATGAACAATATGTTCAATTTCCTGCGGCTTCATCCCTCTCTGAGAGACTCTCTGGTCCATTTGTCCCTTGAAATTGCCACTTTTTCCGCATCAATCAATATTTTCGTTGTGCCTTTCGCATTAGACTGACTCAAGGATAGTCGGCATTCTCACCTTTTATCATGGTTGCATGGCCCTCAATACGCATCGATTCCACCGTGTTAAAATCACCTAAAAACACACCAGGTGAACATCAGATCCTTTCTAGGCTGAAAAGAATCGTGGCCTAGAAAATTCATGTTGTGAAAGTTGGGTCACCAAGCCAGATAGCCTATAAAGTTTGCCTGGGTAAGTTTTTCCATCATTCTAGACGTCATAGGAAAAAATGGTAACGATACGATTTTTACAAGTAATTCCGGCAGTTAATAGCAATTTTTGTCGACAATTTGTCGATAAATTTGTCGATAAATTGTCGACAAACAGCATTTTTATCGACAAATTGTCGATAAATGTTGTTTTTATCGATAATTTGTCGGTAATTTTCCGATAAATTTACCGGTAAATTTGTCGATAAATTTGTCGAAAATGGCGTTTGTCGACAAATCATTTGTCGATAAGGCAAACTGCTTTCCGGGGAAAAAAGAAATAGGAAAACCCGCGAAAATGGCTATTGTCGGATTTAAAAAAGTGACACCTGAAAATCTCGGAGACGGCGCTCGTGTCGATTTACGAGGGGGCGGAGCGAAAACGGATACTGTAGAGAACAAATCTATTTATGTGAGTTTAGTGGGATTTTCTGAACAAAATTTTGAATTCTCGGTATAAAATTGATCGCTATCATCTCTAGAATCTATTTTTCAGCAAAAAACTAAACTTGAACGCGAAAGTAGCTCGAACGAGCCGAAATTCTGAAATATTACGTTTTTGTCGCACTTTTTCGTAGATCAAAAAAAGCAAAAGTTTTCAAATTCTCAGGTGTCACTTTTTTAATTCGACAATACATCGTGTCGAGTCCTAACCTCGTCGAAGCATCTTCCTTTAAAAAATCTACTGTAGTTTTAATTTTAAACTTTTAAAGGAACATACTTCAAATGTACGGCAGGGTTTCGACACGATATCGCCGGCATTTTTCTTTTTTTATAAAATTTTCCGTAAAAAATCAGCGATTCTCTCATTTTTATATCGAAAAACGGTGACAAATGCATCTTGCGAATCAAAAAAATCACAAAACAAAGTCAAAGTGACGCATAGAGATGCGCTTCTCGACGTTTCTTTCTCTAAAATACAAAATATCGTGATTTTAAAGGATGTGTTCTGTAAAAATAGAATAAAAAGGCTAAATGACTCGACGGACCATCAATAATTCAAAGGTGTCACAAAAGATCGATGCGAAAACCTAAATTTGAGCTGCCGCGCTCGTGGTAAACAACGCGCGCACACGTGATGGCGGAGTGTCGTTTGTGTGAGGAAAAAAAAACAGAATATTTTGACCCGAATTTTTCGAGAATTTCAACCACTTTCTCACTTCAAAATCCCAATTTATCTCTTTCAAATAAAGATTTGAACCCGCAAAACCGAGAAAGTATAAAACAAATTTCCAGAAAAAATGGCCGACGATGACGAGAAGCAGCAAGTGGACAAGCACAACTGGGGAAGCGAGGAGTTGTCGAAAGTGAGTATTTTGTTGAAAACCAATTGCGCGATGATGACTAGGCTCTCTTTTTTCTCTGTCTGACCGTCTGAACCCTATCCAAGAGGGCAAATAGATTTTGTTCTTCTCCCCGCTGGCAAAGGTGTAACAATTGGAGTCGCTCTTTTCTCTCCCTCTTTATATTGAATATTTCTCGCAATATAGTGAAAAAAAGCTCGGAGATGAGCTCAAACGGCGAAGAAAGCGATTTCGATGAACATTATATTCCAGAAGTAGGATTTCATTGATTTTTCCTGCTTAAATTTCCCTAAAATCAGTATTTTCCAGGTGTCGGACACTCGCGAAGACACTGATGACACGAAGCTGAGCGCCGACGCGCTCGGCAACTTGTTCAACTCATCAGCACCAGCTCGGCCCAAAATCAACATCAAAAAGGAGGATTTGCAGTTGGTGATGAAGGAATTGGAGCTTCCAGAAGGCACCGTCCGTGCCAAACTCATCGAAACCAACGGAGATGTTCGTGCGACATTGAGATCTCTTTGTGGACTTTGATTACATTTTGCTTGTTTGAATTTTGAATTTTTTCATTTTTGTTGCTATCTAATTAGAATAAGAAATCCAGAATTTGAAGTTTTTCTCTGTTCGTTACATCATTTTATCTGAAATGGTCGGGATACCGTCAATTATTTTTTCTAGGCGACAAGCTACGAAAAACTGAAAAAATTTTCAGAAAGAAAAATGCCTGTCATCAAAGTGCAAACGAACCATAAAAAGGTTTCGGATGGGTTTGAGGTGAGTTGAACATCTTTTAAGAATGGATTTCAAGCTGAAAAATGGGAGAAGAAAGGATTTTTGAACCTGAAAAAATATTTTGAGCTAAACATGGATTTCATGCTAGAAAATCAAACTTTTAAACTGGAAACAGCCAAAAAAAAAGGGTTTTAGGCCTAAAAATGCTACAAAAATAGTTTTTCAGGTCCGTCTCGCAGTGCACATGGCAAAAGTGATGCAACGACCGGAGAGTCAGATTTTTCTGACGGTAAATGATCTGACGATTTTCCCCCCTTTAAATTCTGAAAAATGTCCAGGTCGATACCAATTCTCGCATGACACGTGGCAAGCTGACGGACCCACTGGCGATTCTCGAAGTCTCCACATCCACTGTCCTCACTCCGTTGCTCACTGAAGAGTACACCGTGGCAATTTGTGAATTCTTCCAACAAGAACTTTTACTGGATGCCGACGCCGTCCTTATCAATTATCGATCGTTGAGCCCTGAGCTCATCGGATACAACGGACACATTCTCACTGAAAACCGCCCATTCATTACGAGAGATCGAGCAATCGTCATTCTTGGTCTTCTCGCTATCGGATTCGCCGCATTCATTCTTCCATTTTTCAAATATATTTGATGTTTTGAATGCTTGAATATTGATGATTGCCTAAAATTCACTTTCCTCGTAAATTCACTTTTCTCCCTCGTTTTTTATCAAAATGCTTGTAAATTTGATGTATATAATAAACGTTCATAATAAATCCGAAAATTATTTATCATTGTTTTTGTGTATTTCAACTTTTAAAATCATCTGAAGTTTTCTAGAAGACTCAAATTATCATTTTTCAGCCCAAGTGTCTGAAAACCGAAAAATATGTAAAATCACATAAAAAGGAAGCGATTAAAAAAAAATTAAATCTGAAAACTTTGGAAAATCGCTTAGTAAAACCCAAACAGCAAAAAAACATCGCGGTGTTCGCACCTGAAGCACTCAAAATTACAAGAAAATTTGATGAGAAGCAAAGTTTTTTTTATCGTGTGCCTTTGAATACAGTAAACTTCATCTAAAATTCCATAATTTGGTTTTCCGACCAAAATTTTGTTCTGAAAACTCCAGAAGTCTTTCGGAACTTACAGATTTTCAAACGCCGTCCCTTGGGTACAAAACTGTTCCCAATTCCCACAGAAATCATTATTTCAGTTACTTTTCTTCCGATTATTCTTAAATATGAGAAAATAAGAGCTTTATTTAAACAATAATATTATCGACAAAGTTATTCAAATATAAATGGTAAACCTTTGGATTCTGTTCGTACATCCACTTCTGGAAGTCGTCATCGTATTCAGGCTCTTCCATTTCCGCAAAAGTCACTATAAGACAGTAGAACTGAAGCCAAAAAGTTAGTGTGATGACATCATCTAATCCTCGTTCCAGAATGATATGGCGATCCGGATTGTTGGTACGAATTCGAATTCTTTTTTCACTTTTCGACCTGAAAATATCATTTTTGAAGATTTTTGAAGCAATTAGAAAAATTAATTACACAATACGCTCGTTAAAATGCTCCAAGAATTCCGCGGAAAAGCCATCTTCAGAGACAGTAACTTGGAAGGTGGATCCGATTTTTGCATTTGTATCGATCCACATTTGTGCAACCATATAGCTGTTCGTTAGGTCGTAGTTCTGGATATGCCAGTAAGACACATTTTGAACCTGCTTTCCTGTGTAGTTCATTGATTCGGCATTTTCCTTGAACAAATCATCAGAATCAACATGGATCATTTTTTTCACGACTATCATTTCAGTGCTGATTTTCGGCACTTTTTTAGTTAGAAACGCCATACCTCTTCAGAATGGAATTTTTCAAAAAAGTTTTCAACTACAAAATTGAAGCTCTACATTTGTTTAATATATTCTGAAATGTTCAGAAAATTCGCAAAATTTGTAAATAATTTTTGTAGAATTTCAAAGTTACCCAGGAAATAGTGGAATATGAGTTTTGTTTTTTCTTTCAATTTTTCCAGATTACCGTAAACCTGAGCCACATTTGTAACAAAATCCTTTTTTTTTGTTTTTTGTTTATCTCTGAAAAATCTGTCCCATTCATCAGAAACCATAAGTCATATGATGTCCACCTTTCCAAGAATCTCAGTTTTCCTTTGAGAAATCTGATACAGGTGGATAAGTGAAGGGTCTGTGAAGTTGAAAAAAACAAGAAACACATTTTTTCCTTTTTTTCTCAATTTTTTCAATTCCCAGAAGTTTTCATTTTCCACCCCAAAACAAAAAAATCTTCTTGAAGAAAAACAAAAAAACCAAAGCTTCATTTTTTTTCGTCTTTTCCCAAAGAGAGCAAACCAAAATAAAAAAGGAGGATATAAAATTAAATTTGGGAGTCTCAAAAAGAAAAGAAAAGTGTGTTTTAGAGACTCATTGGTCCGTATGTGGCTGTGTGTATGTGAATTGAGAATTCACGAATTTTTTTTTAGTTCTCAGAAAATGGAATTCTTTGTTTTTTTATTTGGAGACGTCCCCTTGAGATAATCTCTTCTTCTCTTTTTTGTAGTTTGGAATCTCGCCTTGATAATTTTCTCTAGTTTTCACTTTTTCTGATCAGTAAACCTTTTTTTCAGAAAACCCGATTCTGAAATTCAGAGTTTCTGAAACTCTGACACTTTGAAGCTCCGAAATTTCGAAATTCTGAAGTTTTGAGATTCTGAGATTCTGAGATTCTGAGATTCTGAGATTCTGAGATTCTGAGATTCTGAAATTCAGAGATTCAGAGATTCCAAAATTCTGAGATTCTGAGATTCTGAGATTCTAAATTTCTGAAATTCTGAAATTCTGAAACTCTGAAATTCCGAGATTCTGAGATTCTGAGATTCTGAGATTCTGAGATTCTGAGATTCTGAAATTTTGAAGTTTTGAAGTTTTGAGATTCCCGAGGATATGAAATTCAGAGATTCTGAGATTCTGAAACACTGAAACTTTGTAGTTTTGAAATTCTGAGATTCTGAAATTTTAAGAATCTATATTTTTGAATTTTTGAGGTTCTGAAACTCTACGTTTAAAAATACTCTCGGATTTTCCAAAAGCGAAAGCGAAGGAATCTCAAAAACCATAAACCTAAAAAATCCAGAAAAAAATTAATGAAAATAATAATAATCTTTAAAATCTTTTTAAAAATGGAAAGATCAAAGACCACTTTTCTCATTCAAATGTTCAATTTTTTTGTTTTTGGAAATGAATGGTCATTTGAAATACATTTATTCACTGGATTCTTCTAGAACTTATTCAGAGATCTTCAATATTCAATTCTTTTGTTTAGTCTCAAAACTTAAAATCTCTCATTTTCTATCTTTTTTCTCTCTTAAAAAAACAGAAATAGAAATGTTTGGCTCCCAGTATATTTCATATTTTTCAGTCTAAAAACTTTAAAATCTCTCTTTTTCTTCTTAATTTTTCTGTTACAATACTGAAATAATTGACATATTCCCAACTTTTTGTAAATCGACATATTTTTCGTTTTTCGATCTCTTTTTTTTCGAAAAAAAATGAACAAAACAAAAAACACTCCATTTAAGAAGTATCCCATTCAAAATTAGCGGCTCTATTCATGTTTTTTTAGAGTATGTGGGTGTTTTTTATTGACTCGAGCCGTTCATTAAACAGAAAAATATAAGTGTGACTTTTGCATAATTTAGTTTTTTTCCGAAAAAATAAAAAAACAACTAAAAATGCACAATTTTTCCACTAATTTGGAAATTTCGGATTACCAGATGTTTGAAAACCAAGCACCAAATTTTTTAGTTTTCACCATCAATGCATATTTTGCCTGAAATTTGAACATCTACAGTCAAGATTTTGAAAAATTTCGAAAATCTCGAAAATTCAGAAATTCAAAAATTTAGAAATTCAGAAATTCAAACATTTGGTATTTTCGAGGAAAATCCAAAATTTCTCTTTTTTAAAAAACATTTATTTTCTCTTCAATTTTTGGATTTTTATATGTACTAATCAATTGCATATTTTGCCTGAAAACAGGACGTTATGAGTCGAATTTTCAAGAATCTCTGTGCTAAATTGTATATTTTTTCAAGTCTTTTTCTAATTCCTTCTGTTTTTCTGTTTTTTTTCTTTACCTAAACTCATCCGTCTTCTGAATGTCTCTTACTTTCCTAAATTGAAAACTTTTCTTTCCTTTTTTTCTTAAATTTCACTTCCTCATCCTAGTCTTTTCTTTAGAATTTTCCACAGTTGATTTTTGAAACATTTTTGCGCATAAATTCTTTATAAATTTGATTTCCACTGCTTCCATTGTCAAAGGAAGCTCCGCCCATTTTCTGACTCATTTTTTTTGCAGAAAAAAATGCACAATGCAGATTGTTCCAGAAACAATGAGCATTGTTGTCTTCAGATTGCTGAGCTTTAGCAGCAAAGGGTTCTCACAGAGTCATTGATGTTCCCTTCAACTTTCTCAGGAAGTTTTTTCTCTTGCGTCAGCCATGGGAAAATGAGCACATGTCTTTAGTATTTTGCTCCAAGAGCCGCTGGCCGAGTTCATTTGTTTTTATTGCATAGTTTTTTGAGTTTCCTCTTTCCTGGATGAGTGCGGAAACTACTCTAGTTTTGTTTTTTCTCAAGGCTCAAAAATCTAAATGACATACCGTACTGAAAAAGAATGGCTTCATTCCCTTTGAGTCATTTTATCTCGGTTCCTGTAAAATATATCAAAAAGTGATCAACTTATAAAATTTTTATCATAACATCAACAATATTTTGTTACCGGACTTCCTTTTGATACCTTTCACAGGAGCCAAGATATATGGGATTAAAAATGATGGTTTGGTAGACTTTCTGTTACATTATTTACGGTAGTCCAGAATCTATGGAGTTCGGAGTTCCAGATTTCCTTATTTTAAAAGTTTTGAAAACTTGGATTTGCGAAAATTTCGAATGAACAAAAATTATTTTTTTTAAATAGAATTTTTGAGATTCCCAGTATAATTTCAAGAAATCACAGTTTTGGATATTGCATTTTTTTTGAAAATTAGAAAATTGTCAACTTTGATATTCTACAAAAGCAGGTAAAAACTGTTCAGTGATATCAAAATTTTTCAGACGTTAAAACAGAAATAAAACTATAATCAGGTAGTAGACAAAAGTTTTGTAGAAGTTCATCTGATTGTGATGTACCACGTGGAATTTCAGCGACTCGGAAGTCTGTGATATTTAGAACCGTCAACTCTTACCTAATGTATCTCATTTGCTGTTGAATATATCAAAAATTTGTAAACTGGTAGAATATGTTTCATAATATCACCAACATTTCATCAGCTTACATTTTAATATCTTTTACAGGAATCGAGATAATGTGGGTCAAAGTTAAGGCGCCCTTCTGTGTACTCCATTGGAAGTCATGCCTTTTTTGAAGTCATTTATCTCAATTTCTGTGAGCGATATCAAAAAATAATGAACTGATAAAACATTGATCATAGTATCACAAACATTTTTTCTGTTGACCACTTTTTGATATTTCTTACAGGAACTTGGATAAATTGAGTCAAAGTTGATGAACCTCACAAATAAAGAAGGGATTAGAAGGGTTATCTATGAATTCGAGAACAGTTGAAGCCTCAAAATTTTTTCGTAAACAACAATTATTTTTAATAAAGATCTTTGAATACATTTTCCTTTTTGAACATTTCAATGGTCCATGATCTGTTGTCTCTTTTGTATTCATTTTTTCTCTGTTCTAGAAGAATTATTTTTGTTTTTTGTTTAGAAAATTTTTCCTAGAAAAAAGTGATGTCTCGCTGTTTGAGCTCTTCTTTTAATTTAGAATTTATTAAAAAGAAATAGGAAAATTGAAAGAAGAAAAAGTTTCATATTTTTGTTCTGAAAATTTCTTTGAAAAGTTTTTTTTCAATATTCCGAGCTTCCAGGATTCTGAAACACTAGAATGTTCTGTTTTCTGCCTAAAAGATCACGGAAAAATCTAATCAAATTTGCAAAACTCATTCTCTATTCCACTATACGAAAAAGTCTCGTGTCGTGTCGTAATTTCCTCCGATTATTGCTCATAATGATTTTTCGTGGTCGTGCTCGACTCCCAAAAATTAATCTTAACCCAATTTATTCCCTCTCTGGGTGGGTTAGCTGCTAGATTGAAGTGACTCAAAAAGTCATAGGGTCTTGGAGTAGGTGGCCAATTTTGCAAATTCGTATAGTCAGAAGACCAAATTTCCGTGAATGATCTGGATTTGAGTGATGTGTTTTCTTTGAATCATTCAATTTTCTGATCTAGACATTATAAAAGAACCTGAAATGTTTGAATTCTGATTCAGTGAGAGTTACGGTAAATATTTTTACAATTTTTAGTAACTTGGTCGTTTTTTCAATAAAATAAATTTGTGCTTCCCGTTTTTTTAATTTCTGAAAAAGTGATAAGAACTTTCAAATTTGTTTTTTTTTGGATCATTTTGATTCAAACCTAAATATCTCATTTGGATTAATTCGTTCAAAAATTTGTCATCTTTAAAAATTGTATTAGGTTGTTCGGAAAGTCCTTTCCATTTTTAGCGTCAGATACATTCAAAGTAAAATAGGTCAAAACGATGTCGGATAAATTGGAGGTAATGACCATCGTTATCAATGACTATCTGCCGATGCCCCACTAAATTGTGGATGCCTTCCTTCCAGAACTCCGGTCACAGCGAGTTCAAAATCAAAGCAACCTATTTTTGATACGTTGTTTTGAAGTAAATTTTCGTCAATCAAGATGACGTTAGAAGTGGCTGGATGGGTAATAATCAGAAAGTAGAAGGTTAGAGCTATACAGTGAATAAGGCAGAATCGTCTAGACATATCCACCGAGATCGGCCTGGGTCTTCCTTCCCGCATGAGGTTGCGAATTTTAATTAAAAATTCAAAATAAACCTTTGCGTTCCTCTCCAATGGAGATCCACATAAAGTCTGAGTTATGTCACCTGATAAGAATAGGTATGGGCCGTAAAAGTGACATTATTATCAAGCAGCTCCTAATACTCCATTCTTTGGTAGACCACCATACCGACAACATCCCATTTTTAACACGAATTTCACGTTTCGAGACGTCTGGTGGTTGAGCGCCTTTGTCAACCCATTTGGCTTGTCGCTTATTGTAATCACACATTACCCATTTATCATCACTAGCAATGGTTTGAACGAAAGGCTTGCCACTGATGTACTTCATATATCACACATAGTTTGAGGAGGGTCTTTTTCTTTCCCGGCTTTTAATGCATCCAAACCTAAGCCCGTTTGCCTTTTTGAAGGGGGATTTTCGTCAAACAAGAATTCCCGTTTTTCAAATTACTGAATCCAGGTTGTGATGGTAGTTCGAATGGGTGCATTTGCGTTGTTAACCGCTACTAGTTGGCGATCGATTTCAGCTAATTTAAGATCAGATATAAATACAATTAAAATGATAGTCCAAAAATGGAAATTAATAGAGCCGACAACGGTGAGCATATCTCATTACACGAAAAGGGGGGAATGATCTCTGTTGGGGTGCAGACACTACTAGACCCCACCAATATACTGATAAAACGACAGCTTCCTCGCTTTTACCCCGTTCAAAAAAACGAAGTTTGAAAACAACAGATCAAAAATGGAAAGGACTTTCCGAACAACCTAATAGTATTTCGTTTGAGGTTTTTTGCAAGTTCTTATGAAAGCCATAAAATTTTCATTAATTTTTTGAACACTGTAAGCTAAGGAGATTTTTCACAAAATGCGAAAAAAAACCTGTAAAAGAAGGTCTTCCTAACTTTTAACTTTAAGTTCATATATCTCATTTTCAGTCAAAGATATCAAAAAGTATTAAACTAATAAAATATTTTTGATGTTATGATAAACATTTTGCCATTTGGCCACTTTTTGATATCTTTTACAGAAAACGAGATAAATTGAGTCGAAACCCAAAAGTCAGGACCCAAAATTATAGATCTTTGTTTTACACCCTTAATCGGAATTCTACTGACAATGATCACTTCATCACGAGCCAATTCAGTCCAATTTGGCCAATCAGACTTTTTCTAAAAAATCAAATTATTCGATTGGTCCTGTAGAAGACAAAAAAAAAATCAGTTCCTCCTTTTCTTGGGTTCCAGAACGCGAAATTCTTGTTTTTTTTTCTGTTCATTTCTTTTTTAAATTTCAGTTTTAATAATGTTCTCATTTTTTATCCAGAGAAAAATTCCGATTCTTGATCTACCGTAATCCTCTTCCCTTTGAAGTTTGACCTTTTCACTAAATGAATAATCAGGTACTAATGTTTTCTTCTTTCCTGGTCATTGTCCAATTCTTCCAATTCTCGATAATGGAATTTAGAATATTCCAGACGCTGTCTCTCCAGGAGACGTCAAGAATATTCATTCATCAGTTAGAGTGACTTTTTTTTGGCTCCTCCCACTTTTCCTTCTCTTTTTTTTTTGAGTGTGTGCTCGTCAGTTGTCAACTTCCAAATGACTAATTTAATCTGAAAAGAACACTGGGAAAACTTGTTTTCCATTTTGGATAAAACTTTTGAAAATGTTTTTTTTTCGGAGAATTGTCACTTTGAGATTTTTCTAAAAAGGTTCTCAGAATGTAGGTCGCCATTAAAAATGAAATTTTGGAATCTTTTTAATTTTAAAAACGTAAAATCATATAAATATCTTTTGTCTATCTGAAAAATCACAATATCTGATTTTTTCCCAGACAAATTATAATTTCATTTTTTAGTCACTGTGACATTTTTAGTCGTATAGTCTTGATAAATCATATTTCCAGTAATCTCGCCGTTTTTATTGTTTTTGTTATTCCATTTTTTAGTATAAATATCACAATATTTATAACTTTGTTTGGGTTTATAAGGAACTACAGTAATCCAGTTATCTTTATATTTTGAAATAAAAAAAAAGTTCCTTGGAAATTCTTAAATTACTCTACGCACTTTGAGCTCAATTATTTCGACTCCTGTGCAAGGTGTCACACAAAGTGGTCCACTGATAAAATGCTTATCATAATCTCATCAAAATTTTATCAGTCGACTTACTTTTCATATTTCTTACAGTAACCGAGATAATTGAGCTCAAAGTGCACGTATCAGAAAGGCTGCTAGTATAGCGTTTACGTTATTTGAACTCTCGCCAATCAGGAAATTAAAAAAAAAAGAAACATGTTTTAATACAAAACTCAGAATTTGTAGTTGAGAAATTCAGCGGTAGCTCTAAATTCTCCAAAAAACTCTTTAAAAAAATAAGTTTTCTACTTCCTAAAGAATTTCTGATTCATAAAATCCATCAGACCAGAAAACATTGGAATACATTTTCTACAACTTTTTGTTCTTTTTTTCTGTGCCAGATGTTTCATCAATTTTCAGACCCAAAGTTCTGAAAACCACAAGTTCAAAATTTCTCAATTTTCGTCATCCATCTTTCACCTGTCTGAAAATTTGGTTTTAAACGGTTTTCTGGTCTTTTGTTCCTGATTTTTGAAACCAAATTCTGCAAATGCGCTCCCTTAAAAAAATCTACCGTATCCATCTCCCCTGCATTGCTCATCCAATCCCATTCTCTCACCCAATTAATCGCTTGTTCTGAATTAGTTTCATTTCTTTTTTTTTGCAATTTCTTTCTGAGACGAGCCTTCATTTGATGTTTTATTGCTCTGAAACTTTTCTAAAAACTTTTCTTTTGCAGAAAAAAATGTTGCAAGCTTTTTCCAAATTTTTTTTTGTGTAGAGATGATTTCGCCAAATTTAAAGTTTTTCGGTATAATTTATCCGTCCAACATTTTTTTTATTGCTCCTTTGAAAATTACAAAAAATTACAAAGAAAATGTGACAATTATTTATTAAAAGAATGTTAAAAGAAATTAAAAGAATGATCAACATTTTTCGTTCCTTCATTTTTCATTCAGAACCATAATGAACGTTCCGAATGCATAAATTGTCTGATCTCAGCTCTACATAGGAATTGATAATGTTCTCTTGAACATCACTAGTTCCTCCTGACTGCTATTGGGATCAGCTCCAACTCATGCAAATTCTGGTTCCTTCCACCAGGATGCCAGCTCAATCTCTTAGTTTCTTCTTATTTTCAGTTTGAACCATCAGGAACCACTTCAAATTATCCTGTTTCTCGTAAGTCATCACACTGCATGAATTGTCTGATTTCAGTTTCAGGAATTGAAAAAAATCATCTTTAACATCAGAATTGGTGTTAGATCCTCCACCAGCATTTGATCTTGCTTCTGATATCCTTCATTGAATGCTTCTGGCTCCAGCTCCAGGACCCGGGAACCAGGACCCGGGCATCAGCACCCGCGCTCCAAGACCCGGGCACCGGGACCCAGGCCCCAGGACCCGGGCTTCAGAAAACAGGCACCAGGACCCAGGCACCAGGACCTGGGCTCCGGGTTCCGGATCCCTCCCGGGCCCCCTTCTCTGGAGCGCAGAGAAGGGGAGAACTGATTCTTCCCTTCGATTCACTCTTCGTTTATAGTATTCTTCCTGAGGTCAGTGGGCCATCTAGGGCAGTGTGTGACTACCGATTGTCACTTACCGGTAACGGCTTTTTTGGTAATTTTACCGGTAATTTACCGGTAAAAATTTACCGAAATTAACCTACCGGTAAATTTGAAAACTACCGAAAATTTACCGGTATTTTACCGGTAAATTACCGGTAAGTTACCGGTAAATTTTCGGTAAAATTTTTATTTTCCTCGAGGACTACACCAGTGTGTCTTTTCGAAAAAAATTTCTCGAGAAATGCCTTTTTCGAGAAATTTTCGAGAAATTTTCGACAAAAAATTTTCGAGGAATTCCTCGAGGAATTTTTCGAGAAATGGATTCCTCGAAATTTCTCGAGAAACGACCCTTTCGTCTCCGAGAATCCTGAAGACGTCCCGAGCCACTAAAACTTCCATTCATCATAACTCGGTCCATTTTTACGCTAGTTTATCTTACCACCATTCGAACGCTCTCTTCAAGCTAAACACAATGATATCTACTTCAGCACATAAAGTAGGCGGCACATATGGGTTACTTGGTGTCCTGTGGTGGAAGCCACCTCGGCAGATTTTTTGGAGGTTCTTACACGGCTTAATTATGAAAACCTAGCTCGGCAGCTAGGCGTGTTATACGGGGAGGGGGCGGAGACGAAAGGGTGGCGGCATTAGTAGTGCAGCTCTAAAATGTCGCGGTTCTAAAACGTCGCGGTTCCAAATTTTGAAAAAAAGCAAAAATTATCCTAGAAATTACCGGTAGTTTTTGGTAAATTTACCGGTAAATTACCGGTAAGTTACCGGTAAAATTACCGGTAAATTCACCAAAACCGTACCGATAGCACACACTGATCTAGGGTAGTGGGTTTTTACGTCGATATTTTGGTGGAAAATTTAAATATAAAAATACACTTTTTGGCACGCGGAATTTTAATAAAATATATAAAATTTTCATCGCGTTTAAAAAATTGATGGATTGTTTCTGATATTAAAAACTAATGGATTGTTTCTGATATTAAAGTGGACATTTTTGCTGTCAATAATTTATGGATATCTTTTACAGGAACATAGAGAAAGTTGGTCAAAGTTGACTCTAATAGAATCCCCCATCCTCAATCCTCAAACTTTGAGTCGATTTATCTCGGACATATAAAAAATAATTAACGATAAAACATTAATCATAATATTTTAAACATTTGATCCGTTGACCATTTTTTGATTTCTTTGATAGGAACCGAGATTAGGCTTTCCATGACGGGCGGGTAGCGAACGGGTAGCTGCTACCCGCCCGTACCCGTACCCGCCAGCTACCCGGAACTTTTTGTGTTGGCACACAATTGACGACAATTCGCGCGCATTTTTCGGTTTCAATGCGCGCAACCTGCCGACACTTTGATTAACTTTTTTCAAATAATTTTTTGACAATTTTTGTCGCTTATTGGTGTAGAAAATGGTTTTAAAGTGAAAATAAAAATAATTCAGGTATGAAAGTTCATCAGCCTGTGAAAATGGACGAATTTGTTTCGGAAAGAAACCGAAAAATGCGCGCGAATTGTCGTCAATTGTCTGCAAACACAAAAAGTTCCGGGTAGCAAGCGGGTACGGGTACGGGAGGGTACGGGTAGCTGCGGGTACGGGCGGGTATATCGCTACCCGCATGGAAACCCTAACCGAGATAAATTGGATCAAACCTGATAAACCTGA